ACATTCAGGGCCATCTTCGGTTATGGTGCAAGTTGGAGGCCAGCCTGGGCTACATGAGATCCTGTCTTTAAAAAAGGAGGTAGCAGGTAAGGGCTTACTGCCAGATCCACCTGCCTGAGTTTGGTCTTTGGGATGTACACAGTGGGAAGAGAGAACCAACTCCTGTGAGCTGTCCTTTGACCCCCACACCTGGATTGTGGCATGTGTCCCCCTCCCCTAAAAAACTGCATTTATAAAAATCACCGCAGCACAGACCAGTCACAGAATTGGTTCTTCCCCTGCTGTCAGGCCTAGGGACTGAGGACCATGAGAGATATAATTGGTCGTGTGACTGCCTCCTTTATTGAAGACTCCTGTCAGTCCCCGCGGGCACTTACAGACCTGCCTCTCCTAAGCATGTGCACATACTGCCATGGTGCAGGCTGTAGCGCAATCAGTTTGACTCTTTCTTTCTTCCATGTGTGCCAAAATTAGTTTTTATTACCTGGACACACCTGAGAAAAGGGAATCAGTATAGGGACCTCCTCCATTAGATTGTACTGCAGGGAGGTCTGTGGGGCATTTCCTCCATTGATGGAGGGCCCATCCCTGGGCAGATGGTCCTGGGTTGTATAAGAGAGGCAACTGAGTAAGGTAGGGAAAGGTGAGCCGGTAGGTAGTGTTCTCTGTGGCCTCTGCCTTGAGCTCCTGCCCTGGCCCACTGAACTCTTCTCTCACAAGTTGCTTTTGGTCAGTGTTTTATCACAGCAGCAGAGAATCTGCCTGGCACAATGTGTATGCATGACTGTGACGTGTGTTAATGCCTGCGGGTATATTTGCATAGGGATGCCGAAGAAGTTAGGTGACAGAAGAAGAAGTTGGGTGACTTCTGTCACACTTCGCTTTTTCTTTCCTTCTGAAACAGGTATCTTGCCATCTTGGCTGGATTGTGAGTGATCTCCCAGAATAATCACCCTCCCTCACCCCCCACCCCAGTCTTACTCTCAAGCCAGTGCCAGTGCTGGGTTACAGCTGTGCTCCACTTGCCTGATTTTTGTACAGGTTCTGGGGATCTGAACTCAGACTGTCACGTTTGCACAGCAGGTCCTTTACTACAGACTTCTAAAGAGTCTGTGACAGTTCCCAAGTATGGGGACAAGTGAGCACCACCTCCACCTGGCCCTTTCCATCCAAGCTGTCTGAGTTGATACTTAGTTTCTTCTTCCCAGTAGCTGTCAACGCAGCCCGCTTTCCCACTTCCTGATCAAGCTAGCACTGCATTCAAAGCAGGAAGCAGGAGGTGGCTATGAAAGAAACTCACCCAGAGGCAGGAAGCATGTTTGCATTGCTGGCAGCAGATTGCCGAGAATGTGATCTCAGGATCCTCTTGCTTTGGGTCTCTGAAGAACAGGCTGGTGTCCCCATTAAATAGGGAGGGATCTTATGTGCACAGAATGTACACCAGTCACTGCTCCTAGTCTGTTTCCAGTCACGGGGATCCAAGTGTCAGGGTTGATTGAGACCCTACCTTGTGAGAAGTGATCCTGCAACCAGTACATCTTTGAGTGTCATTTATGGGGTGCCACTGAAGCTAAAACCTTAGGCCGGCCAGAGCAGAAGACACGTCTCCTTTGCCTTCTCGTTCCTCAAACATGTTTCCTTCCCCTGTGGGCTGAACTGTGGAAGGCTCCCTCTGTTTGGATCCTGGGGTTGAACTCAAATTGTCAGGGTTGGCAAGAATTGCCTTTTTACCCACTGAGCCAGTGTGCCAACCTGATTTTGTTTTTTGGGGACAGGGCCTCAGGTAGTCCAGAACTCACTATGTGCCTGAGGCTGGCCTTGAACTCCTGATCTTGCTGCCACCACCACTCCCAAATTCTGGGATTACAGGCATGTGCCACCATGAAACAGTTTGCATTTTCCTCCTTTTCCTGGATTCTGGTTGGGGGATTTGATGGCTTGCTGGTCTGGTAAAGGGCTGCCTAGTCGTCTTAGTGAAAGTCAATAGAGCTCTACCCTAACCCTCATGCCTTTCTCTCTGGGATGTTGTGGAAGCTGAATCAGTTCTCCCTTGGTAACACTGCCGGCTTTTGAACTTGAAGATCTGTATAGTACTTTAAAACAGTTTATTTTTATGTGTTTGAATGTTTGCCTGTGTACATGCGTGTATACCACATGCATGCAGTGCCCAGAGAGGCCTGAAGGTGTAGGATGCCCTGGAATTGGACTTGCAGGTGTTTGTGAGCCAGCATGTTGATTCTGGGAACAGAACCTGGGTCCTTAGCTGCTGAGTCGTCCCTCCAGCCTGTAGTCTTCCTTTTTTGTGTGCAGTTAAGCTAAAATGTGATAACTTTCTACTTTTTACTGGAGGGGATGGGCTTAGCTTTGGTTTCAGATGCTCTTCATTGTTTTGGGAGGAGTAGGATTGAGACAAGGTCTAATGTAGCCTAGGCTGGCCTTGAATTCCTTCTGTAGCCGAGGATAACTTTAAATTCTTGATCCCATTCCTTCCGCCTCCCAAGTGCTATGATTAGAAACATAAGCCACGAGGACTCAGCATCTTCAGTCCTAAGGGTGAGGTTTCGTTAAGTGTGGGGGATAGATTATTGAGAAAAGTTACTAACTTTCATCAAACTGCCAAAGCAGTATGTCTAAGATCTTTTTTTCCCCTACAAGATAGAAATGAATCATGAAGTTGGCTTTTGAATTGGCTGGCTTACGAGACACTTCTCCTGGTTGTAGCCCATGTCTGAGAGGAATCTTGAGTATCCCTCCTCGTCTGAACAGCCTCTGCCCTAGCCCCTTGGCATCACTCCTCTGGCCACACTTCTTGCCAAGTGCTGACATGTCACTTCACAGTTGTATCTGAGTGCTCTCTGACCTTTCCTGCCTCTGTGTAAAGGCCAGCAGCCAGCTCCTAAGCCTGTCACTCTTCTCTGTTACCAAAAGTAGAGTCAGAGCCTAGGGCCTTCAGAGGGGCCCATCAGTGAGTGGCTCAAGGTGGAAAATTCACTCCACTGGATTAGTGGGTTCCTTTCCAAAGCTTGTAAACTTGGTGTGCTTACTTTACGTCCATTTGTCTCAATACCAGGATGGGTCTTTCTTCCAGCCAGTCCGTGGGGCCAGGCACTGCCATGCGAGCTCAGGTCTCTGGTGATGTGTGTGGGTCAGTCACAGTCTCCATCAGGGAGGAATATGGTCCCTGGACTGGTAAGAAGCAGAAGAGATGCTGCAGTTAAGATGCACAATCCTTGTGAAGAATTGTGAGCCTCTCTGCTAGTGCCATCTCTTTTGTGCTGCAGGGGTAGTAGAGGAGGGTGACAGACATTGCAGCAGTGGACCCCACCCCCTACCAGCAGGAATGCCCTTGGCATCAGCCTCTCCCTGGTAACAGTTTGGCAGCGGTTTTTATAAATTTTGCTCTGACTTTTTTGATGTAGGCACGGCACTCTTTACAAAATAATTTGGATTTAGAACCAAAGTATTTATTTATTTTTATTAGTGTGTGTACATGTGACTGTGTGAATTTACGTGTATCACATGTGCATGCAGGTGTGCAGGGAGGCTGGAAGAGGTTACCATATTCGTTGGAATTAGAGTTACAGGCAGTTGGGAGCTGTCTCAAGTATGGGTATTGGGAACCAAACCTGGGTACTCTGCAAGAACAGTAAATACTCTTAACCACCAAACCTTCTCTGCAACCCCCAAAGTTAAGATTTTTATAGTATATGGTTTAGTGCAGTAGCTTTACCATTTTTGAAAGATCTTTGACACTACACACACACACACTCCCAGAGTGGCTCCTCACACACACATGCATACACATAGATACACACACATGCACACTCACACAGAGTAGCTCCCTACTGTTATGAGAAGTTTTCCCACCGGCCTGGTCCCACAGCCATGTCAGCTCCAAATAAGACACAGAGATGCTGTATTAGATATAATTCTGTTGCCCTGTTACTAGTGTTTCTTATTGGCTAGCTCTGTCTTAAATATTAACCCATTTCTATTGATCTAAGTGTTTCCATGTGGTCTTATCTTACCAGAGAGAGGGTCTAAACCTCTTCTCAAGTCTCTACATCTTGACTCTCCTCCACTACATCTCTCAGAATCCTCCTTGACTCCTAATCCAGCCTATCTTGCTTTCCTATTGGCTAACAAGGCTTTATTCATTAACCAATGAGAGAAACATATTTGCAGAATGCCCTCCCATCACCTCACACACAGGCAGGCGCATGCACACAGAGAAGCTCCTCACAAAAAGGCACACAGATACACACATGGTCACGTGGGGGCATGCATGTGCACGTGCACACACACACTTGCGTCTAAACACACACAGTAGCTCCTAGAAATGAGGAGGCAGCACTTCCCTGTCCTTTGAGAGAGACAGGAAAAATCACATAGCAGTGAACAGGCTGCATGAACAGAATGTAGAAGGGACACAGTGCAGTGAGTGTCACCTGTACAAAGTGAGTGTGCATGCCAGCCAGCCCTATGCTGTAATACCACATTCAAGAACAGGTCCCATTTTGCTGTGTGCATTCCTTTTACACGTTGCTTTGGGATCATCTCTGTCCCTGTTCTCTGCTAAGCATAGCCTTGTTTCTCAACTGGTGTTACTAGCCACACACTGTGTTCCCACACCGCTTCATGAGCTGTAACAATTTGAGTTCATTGATCTTTGAAGATTCTTAATAAACACCAGAAAACCAGGACAGATGGGAATGTGAAATTTGCAGGCTGCTGAATACAATAAATGTTGGGGTCAAGGCCTGGGCTGTGGTTGTTGTGCCAGAGTGTGTGCTCTTGTTCTCTGTGACTGCCATGGTGAGCATTGGTGACTGTTCCTCAAGGGACACACATGGTGCAAACTTTCTTGGGGAAAGATGCACTTGTGGAGAGTCAGGGAAGGTGAGCCTTAGCTGAGCCCAGATGGCGTCTGTTACTGTCTAACCAAACGTGCTGCCTTGAGTCTGCCTCTCACCCCTACGATTCCCTTTTCTGTTTTTAAGGAAAGAAGGACTGTCAAAATGTGGACGATGCAAGCAGGCATTTTACTGCGACGTGGAATGTCAGGTAGGTGTGGGGCCAGCTGGCAGGAAGGCCTTCTCTTGGAGGTTGGGACTTGGGTGTCATCTTCATCACTGGTTTTCTGCTCCACAACTCCTCACTCCATTCGGAGTGTGTGCATGCCCCTCTCAGAAGTAGCCAGCCCCTGCATCAGGCAGAAGTGTGGTGCAAAGACGTGGCAGACACACAAGAAGGCTGCTAGGTTATCTGGGGAACATACCACGGGTGACAGTTCACACCAAGGACACCATCAGCAACTTGAGGAAGGGTAAGGAAGTGAGAAGTAGATTGCTGCCTTCATGGCATGTGCAGTCCCACAGCAGTCGGGCTCCTCACTCTTGGACTGTTAGAACCCTGCCTAATGGCAGCCAGGCTTCACCAGCACAGCAGAGCAGAGGGCTGTGGCTGCGAACCTGAACAGAGCTTGGGCTTCGTAAGCAGCCTGAGTTGGGGACTGGGGAGGTGAGGAGTGATGGTAAGTCTTATGTTGGCTCCTGCAGTGTGGGAGTGGAGGTAAAGGAGGAGGCTGTTGCGAGCTCTTCATGTCCTTCTGAGGGGCTGGGAAAGGTGTCCTCTAACTTAGAGTACACAGCCGATGCCCACAAAAGCATTCTTCATAGAAAAGCAAGCATTGCAGGGCTGGTACAAGGGGGCATGTGCTCCACAACCTTGTCTAGGCCTCCAGCATGGGTGTACTAGGAACTGCATCTTCTTTAAAAAAAAAAAAAAAAAAAAAAGAAGTGAATTTGTGTGCGGTTCGTGCTTCTCACATGTGTTGTTATGCACATGTGTAGGCGCACATGTGGATGCATGTGTGTTGTGGTGTCTTTCTTGATTGCTCTCTATTTATTGAACCTGGACTCACGGGTTCAGCTTGTCTGGCTAGCCTGCCTGTCTCTACCTCTCTCTCAAGTGCTGAAATTACACACTGGCAACCATGCCAACCCAGCTTTTTAACGGGTCATGTGAGGCAGGCGAGAGCTTTCTTTCTCCACTGGGAGCCCTCTCCTCCCTCAGCCCTGCAGGAGGGATTTCTGCATCCTCCTGTTTGAGCTGTGCCTCCCCCCACCCACCCCTGCCCAGCCTTGCAGGTTTCTGTTGTTTCTTTGGGAACTTCTTACCATGCTCATGCTGTTTGCAGGGAGTGGCTGTAGGTGATCTGTACCACTCCCTATCCCAAAGTACCCCTGCAAGCTCCACTTCTGGTGACTCCCCCCCCCCATCACTTCATCAGAGAATGCTTAGCAATGGGAGTCACTGCTAAGCCCTATGACAGCACAGTGCCAAGGACAGCTGCCCCTTGCCACGGTAGAGCAGACGCTGATATGCCTGTCTCTCTCAGCAGGTTTCCTGAGGTGGTCAGCCTGAGTGACAGTGAACATAGAAATCAGCTTTGGAATAGTTTTCAGGGTCCAGCATTGTTATGTCTAGATTGCTGTGGTGTTTGGGAGATACTCATGTGGCTGTCTGTAACTCATGCCCTCCTGGTCCCTTTCGAATCAAGCATGGGCAATGGTGTTCAGTCTGGATGACAGACCAGCAGCAGGTGCTGAGTTCCACTTACAAGCTCTCAGAGCCTGGCAGGTCACAGGACAACTCTGAGTGGACACTCTCTTCATGTTCTAGTGAGGACACAGTGCCCTTACTGAAGTGAAAAAGAGATGCCTGTGTATGGAAACTGCACATGGAGGTTTCTGCCTGCTGCCCTTGAGCCCCAAATAAGCACACAGAGACATGTTAATTATTAAACCGTTGCCTGATGGCTCAGGCTTCTTACTGGCTATCTCTCTCTTAATTATTAACCCATAACTACTAATCTATGTATTTCTACATGGTTTTATCTGACTGGAGAACTTCCAGAATCCTGTCTTCTAAGTAGCTATGTGGCATCTCTTTTGCAGCCCCTGTCTCAGTGTCCTCTTCCCAGCATTCTCCTCCTCTGGTATCCCTGTCTATACTTCCTGCCTGGCTACTGGCCAATCAGTGTTTTATTCACCAACCAATATGAGAAACATATACAGAAGGACATCCCCCAACAGGTGACACCCTGGACAAGCCTGTGGCATTGTTATAGATAATATTAGACCCCATAGCAAAGCAGATTTTCTGTGATTTAGTTGGGGTAGAGGCTTAGCTGTGTGTAGAGGCCCAAGCCAAGAAGCTTGTGCTTCTAGCCTAGGAAGATGGCTGGCTTTTGAGACTGCCAAGGTTCTGGTGGTGTGCCGTGGTTGAATGGTGGTCAGTACAGTTGGACTCACTCTTCTGAGACATTGAGAACAGATTCAGCAGTAGAGAATCTCAAAATCCTGGACATGCTGCTTTGCCCCACACCCCCTGAGCGCACTGACAAAAATATGTTTCCATAGTCCCGATGTGTGTTGGGATTTTGAGGTGGCCATGGGGTTCCTGATGCTCTGTTCTTCCAGTTTGCAGACTCCAAAAGCTCATTTGGGGCTGACTCACATTAATTAATGTCTATGCCAGAATAATTGCTCTCCCTGAAGTACTCTTGAGAGTTTACACAGTCACCCACTTAAGGCTGGCTTGTGTCATAGTGAGATGGTAGGGTGGAGCCCGGGTGGGACGGGGAGCTCTAGGCTGTGATAGCCCTCGATGGAGCTCCTGGTCCCTCACTCTGAGGACAAGGTGCCCGGGACAGCCTCTGCAGCTGTGAATTTCTGTGTCACATTGCCAAGTATCCTTGAAGGTGGCACCTGTGAAATGTCTCTCTCTCTCTCTCTCTCTCTCTCTCTTTCTCTCTCTCTCTCTCTCTCTCTTTCTTTCTTTCTTTCTTGTCTATCTCCTGAAGAAAGAGGCTCATGGCCACAAGGTTTTCAGCCTTTCCTAATGAAGAACTCAATGATTATGGGACCGTGTATTATAGCAGACTGGCCATGAGGAAGGAGTTAGGAGAAACAAATGCCTAGAAATGGAAGGCAATGCCAGGGCTGATGTTCAGGAAGTGTCTTACCCAGTGCTAACAGGACCCTGTCATTATTGGGGAGGCCATGAATGTGGCCAGGGTTCTGGGTACAATGCTGGCTGAGCCGCAGCTGCACCGTCACCACTAGAAAAAAGGTGTGTGGATGGCACTTCAGAACCCCTCTTCTCCATTGGAGTGCAGAACCAGGCCCTGTGAGCCCGAGGCATGTTCTTGACATCCCATGCACCAGAGAAAGAAAAGGGGGTTTCATGGCAAAAGTCTAGACACTTTCAAGAAGGCAGACTCATTTGCTCAGCAGAAAACTCAATGCTATAATCACCTCTCCTTTTTTCTCACTGACTATGTGGGTGCACCGTGAGACAGTTCCTTCATTGACGATATGGGTGCCCTGTGAGACAGTCCTCCACTCCACTCACAGTGTGGGTACACTGAAACAGTTTTCCACACAGGGTGCTCTGTGAAGCTGTCCCTCTGCTCTCCGTGCCTCTCCAAGCATTCTTACTTGTGGACAGGGATCAGTCACACCCAGTGTTTATTGTATTATAGGAAAATTAAACTTGAAGTTTAAAAAGAACCATGAGCACAAAAACCCACTACATCTTACTGTTGCATAGACTGGTGCTTAAATTTATTTTACCAACATTGTATTTGTTACTGCAAATTCAAAGGTACAATGGGGCATTGTAGTTAAGGTAGAGGGAGTAGTTTGAATTTTGAGGGAGATAAAAAGGCAGTTTTTTGGGGGCGGGATCTTAGAAAAGCTGAAAGAGTATTTTTCAAAGAATACACAGTTGCTTTTTAGACTTTTTGCACACTGTCCTTTTTTTTTTTTTTTTAATAACAATTTACTATGCACAGAATTATGGCAGATTGCCTCCAGTAGAAGAGAGTGCTCTCAGTAAAGGCAGCAAGTAGAGCTTGTGGGGATGTGGCTTAGGTGGTAGGGTTCTTGCTGCCCATGCATGAGGGTCTGAATTAATCCCCCAGCACCATGAGAATCAAGCTGGATGTCACTCACCTGAGGGTCTAGATTTGTTTCCCCAGCGCCGTAAGAATCAAACTGGATATCAATTACCTGTTCTCTTAGCTCTTGGTAGGGGAGGCAAAAGTTCAAGGCCAGCCTTGGCTTTGTAGGAGTTCTAGACCAACCTGGACTACATGAGACTTCATTTCATAAAACAAACAACAAACAAACAAAAAAACGGAAAGCAAAAAACCAAAAAATGCCCAAAGGTGTCTGGTACTTCTACCAGATTCTATTTCTCTTTTCCTGGACATGGGCCAGACTTCTTGCTTTTTGTGTGCTGGTGTCCGGGATTGCCTGTGTGAGGGGATGCCGATGGTCCAGTTTGAAGGGCCTCCATGCTGCACAGGCTTTGGGCCTTGGTCCGATTACCACTCTCGGAAGGTGTGAAATCACAGACTCAGAGTTCCAGACCTGCTAAGTAATGGGAGGATCAAGTTATTTACAGCCTAGAAGACAGGTGCACAGGGATTAGGAGGCCTGCATGGCCTCCTTTAGCTGCTGGGGGGCAGAATCCAAATAGGGGTCTCTGAGAGTCCGAGGCAGGTAGCTGTGAGTTTCCTGCACAGGGCCCCATTTGGCAAGCTTCTCTTCCCTTGGTTTCCCTTGGAAGATAGACCCATCCTAAAAGTCAGTATTATTTATGTGAACAATTATTTTAAATTAGTTATTTGAATAAATATGTTTATTGATACAGTTGATTAAATATAAACATTAGTATTTCACTTTTTTTTCTCCTGGGAGTTTATGCCTGAGAGACACCAAGTCCTGCTCACAGTTGAGGAAACCAAGTGTAGAGACCCTGGGGTTTGAAGTCAGTGTTTTTCTGTGTAGCCTTGATTGACCTGGAACTCAGATCAATCTGCTTCTACCTCCCTAGTGCTGGGATTAAAGCAGTGCGCCACCTTGCCTGGCTTGAGATCCTGTCTTAAACCAGGCCTTTTCAAGTTCCTGGAGTCCCAGTGAGCACTTACTTGTCCCTCTGTCCTACCTGCTGGTGCTACTTTTCCTTAGTTATCACAGGCCTCCTTGCCCCTTTCTCTGTACCCTGTGGCTGCCCAGGCTGGGGAGGAGTCCGCTGGACCAGTTCCCTCCTCTGCCTCATCCTTGTGCTCTGTGGTGTAGCCTCCAGCTAAAAACAGCTCCTGTGCTCCCTAGGGCATATCTTATCTTCTCTCCCTCTCCCTGCTCAGTTATATCAGGCACAGAGTTATTTAACTCCACACAGCATCTTGGCACAGAACCTAAGCCCCGGGGATGTGTCAGGTGCTGCAGTGAATCACGAGGATGGATTTTGTGTCTTTCCCTTGGGGTTCTGTTGAGGAGAGGGACTTGGGGTCCCACCTGTGAATAAAGCAGAGGCAACTCTTTTATTCTAACGGGGGCTGATTATGTGATACGCCGGCAGTGGAGAGAACTAAGAAGCAAAAATCTAGGGAAGGGAGAGTGGAGGGAGAACTAAGAAGCAAAAATCTAGGGAAGGGAGAGTGGAGGGAGAACTAAGAAGCAAAAATCTAGGGAAGGGAGAGTGGAGGGGAAGGACTGTTTGGGGGAGGTTGCTTGAGAAGGTGACTGGAGGAATAGAGGTATGGAGAGCAGGGGCAGTCAGGGAGCCATGTGACAATCTGGGAGCGAGAGCTAGACAGAAAATACTGCAGGGACACAGGATTTTGAGAGAGGGAACAGGAAGGATGATGCTGTAGCAACAGAGTCAGGAGAGTGTGGAGGGGCAAGAAATTCTGTCCGTACAGCCTTGCAAGAGGGGCAAGCCCAGAGAGCTCCTGTCCCCACAGCCTTGCACGTTGTGATGAGAACTTGACTTTGTGTGTGAGGTGAGAAGTCATCAAGGGTTCTGAGCTGAGACATTCTATTTAAGAGTACCCCTCTCCCCACTCCCCAGCATTCAGGAGGCCAAGGGCAAAGGCAAGCATGCAGCTGAAGGAATGTGGCAGTAATCTTGGTAGAGCTGGTTGGATGGCTGGTCCTGGTGGCAGAGAGATGAGTCTCTGCAATCCACTCCCCATGTGTGGAGGCGTGTGTGTGTGTGTGTGTGTGTGTGTGTGTGCATGCATGAATGTGTGTTGTAGGCTAAAGGTCAGCTTTGGGTGCCATTCTTTAGGAGTTGTCCACCTTGTGTTTTTGAGACAGGGTCTCTCACTGATCTGGGGCTAGCTGGTTACGCTGGGCTGTCTGGCCGGTGAATCTTCAGGGATCTTCCTGTCTCTGCCTCCCCAGTGCCGAAATTACAAGCACCACCTCACTCAGCATTTTTATAAGAGTTTTTGGGCTCAAACTCAGGTCCCGTTGCCTCCAGGGTGACTTCAGGTGTTTTCTGTAGGCTTCTTGAGCTGGGGAAGGCAGAGAGCAGAGTGGGGCAGACCCGTCCCACTGTGCACAAAGTGGTCCGGGTTTCCCTGAGTACACAAGCATCTAATGGTATTCCACTCTCCTCCAGCCCTTCCTCCTGGGGCTCTCAGCAATGTCTGCCACTACTGAGCCTTCCTTTCTGTTGTGATAAAACACTTCGGCTAAAAGGAGACTGGAGAGGAAAGGGTCATGCCATCATAGAAGTTGGTCGCGGCAGGCACCCAGGCAGAAGCTGCTTGCTGTTTGGTCAGGCTTTGCTCAGGCTTCTTCTTATGTAGCCCAGGCTCGCCTGCCTAGGGATGGTGCTGCATACAGTGGGCTGGACCTCCCACATCAGTCATTAATCAAGACACCCTCTTACAGACGTGGCCACAGCTCATTCTGAGCAAGGCAGTTCTTCATTTAAAGTTTCCATCTCAGATGACTCTATAGTTTGTGTCAAGTTTACGATAACAACTAACCAAGATGGCTGCTTTTCTTGACTGATTCTTCTGTCACATTGTTTGGTATATTTTTTTATTGTTTGTTTTGTTTTTCATTTGTTTGTTTTGGTTTGGTTTTGAAATCAGTCAGAAGTGACATTGTGGTGACTGGTGAGTTTCCAATGGTCTTCCATGGTGTCTGTCACCAGCCTTTGTGCTATCATTTGCTCTCACCCCAAAGTACTTCCTTTTTGATCTTTAAAACACCATTGTGTCCTCCTGCCACCTTCCCCCTCTCCATGGATGGTGCTCCCACCCCTTCATGGATGGTGCTCCCACTGCTTCATGGACAGTATTCCCACCTCTTCTCTGATGACTGCAGTCTTCATCCCTCTACCAGGAACAGAAAGGCTTCAAAATGAGATAGGAAGGAATATAGTTGCTCTAAAAAAATTATTCTGAGCGACCTGTGTCACCAGTAGATGTTTTTGCTGGACTCTGGGTGCATGACAGACCCTCAGTTGTACAAAATGGTGGGGAGAGAGAGTTGTCAGTGACTTGTCTTGCCTTGAGACCAGAGCTGGAAATCCAGCAGCACAGACAGACCCATCGCCAGGGCCCCTGCAGTCTCACACAGACTTCCAGACAGGAGCCACTGAGGAAGAGAACAGGTATGGTGGCTCACGCTTATAATCCTAGCATTCAGGAGGCTGAGGCAGGAGGATGGCTATGAAGGAAAGTCTATTCTTGGACTACATAGTGATTCCAGATCAGTCTGAGCATGACACCCTTACAAAAATCCCCCCAAACATCAAAAATCACCTCGGCTGAGCTAGAATTAAAATCAGAGGATTTTGTGTGTCTTTAAAATATGGTGTTGGCTCTAGTTTGTGAGCATTTCCGAGCTTTCCAAGAGGAAGTGTGCTCTATTTAACTTTGATGGGGTCTTACTGTAGCTCTCTCCATACTTTATTCTGTAGTTGTGTGTCGTCTATGTGTATCTGTGTCTGTGTATGTGTGTGTGTGTGTCTGTGTGTGTGTGTGTGTGTGTCTGTGTGTTTCTGAGTTTGTATGTCTGTCCATCCATATGTGACTGTCAATGTCTGTCTCTGTGTGTGTGTGTATCCATATGTTAACAGTTTTTTGTTTTACATCACATGACTAGAAAGAGGACTGGCCTCTGCACAAGCTGGAGTGCTCATCAATGGTTGTTTTGGGGGAGAACTGGAATCCTTCAGAGACGGTGCGGCTCACAGCAAGGATTCTGGCCAAACAGGTGAGGAAATGTGATAATGTTCGGCTGCATCAGTTTTCATTAAAGGTCAGAAAGATGAGTAGCTGAGCCAGGCTGAGCATGTGGTTAAATATTCTTGGACTCAGGCAAGCAGTTAGCACTCCTGAGCAGTTAGGACATTGCTTGCCCTGGAACAGGAATATAGCCATACTGATGGAATTCAGAGTTTCTTGGGGATTTATTTATATAGAAAAGCTTGGTATGACTTTCTTGCGTGGAAGACCAGACCTGACCAGAAATTCCTAGAGCTTCCTATGAGCCAAGAGGCTCGGAATCTTTGCACTGTGTGGATATGTTCTGTCCCCTTTCTTGTATGTCACCCTGCTCCTCATCAACTGTTTGTCAATGTGTGGTCAGTCCCTTCCCAGACTCGAGAATACGTGCCTTATCTGTCAAGGCCTGGGTTTTGAAGTCAGTGGGAAGATGTAAGGGGCTTGTCTTTGTGATCCACTGATACATAAGGGAACTCAGGAGGAAATGTGCCTGTAAAGGGGAGAGGTCTCACTGTGTCAGCCTCTGAGCTGTAGACTTGTTCAGGCTTAAACTGTGTGACCTCTGCCTTTCCTATTCCTCCCGGCACCTTCCAGTTTGTCTGTTGTTGTTTTAATCTAAGGTGAGTATGATTATAATGGTTAGCATGTGCCTGTCCCCAGATCAAATTTACCATCCTGGGCGTGTAAACAGAAGTGGAACATTCTAGAACTCTGAGGTCATCCTCCTGCTGCGTTCAGCTGGGGTCAGGTGACTAAAGTGACTCTCTGTCCCTGAAGTGAAGCAGGGGTTGCCTGCAGAGTAAGACACCGGGATGGGGGTGGTTTTCCCTGGGGAAGGCTGCCTGCCTCTTCCTAAATGACAGTTCTTTGTAAACTAATGGTCTGAGGCAGAAAGAGGAACAGGGGAATGGTGTGAACCGTGAGGTCTGGGGGTAACCAGACCTTCATTGCATCAAGCCCTGCCCACTGGGAGACCACTGTCTTCCTTCCCTCGCCCTTCCAGGATCTCTGGCAGTGATATCTTAAGGACCCAGAAGGAGACTGTATGCTTTCCTGAGTGAGGTCCTTCCCCCCCCCACTCTCTCCACCCTCCACTCCCACCAGAATTTCTCACAGAAGTATGCACTGCAACCTTCTGCTCTGTCTGAGTGCTGGATGGGTTTAGAGGTCCCCTTTATTTTTTGTTATAATTACCACTAATTGACTAGTAAATGAAAAGTTACCTGTCCTTCTTTTCATCTCCTTAGGAATAGGTGATTAAAAAAAATAGATCATTTGTATTCTAGTAGCTTGCAGAGGATTAGGGGAGACCAACTTCCCTGGGGGAAGCTTAACATGTTAACTAGGGAGGTAAGAGCGCCCTGCTAGACCAACCACCTGTATCCCCAAATTGAATGGCCACATTACAAAGCCCAGGCCTCAGGCCAACTCCTGAGCCATGCCTTTCAACTCTTGTCAACACCAAGTTTATTCATGTTCTCAAAGCCTCATGGATTCACTATTGTTAGCTTCTCTCAGGGCGTCTAGAACAAAGGCAACGTGTTTCAAGTACAGCGGGGGCTTGCAGATACAACCCAGAGCATTCCTTTTGAAATGTGGGGTTTGAGACCATTCTAGCCTATGCTTAAAGACAGTGCAAAATGGATGGGGGTTTTCATTTGGTTCTCTTTCAGAAGGAGAAGCAATAAATAGGATGGTTTGCCTGTAGACACAGCCCTTTTAAGTCGGGCCCTAAAAACTTGTTTTCTGGCCCCATACTTTTCGGTAATGAGCATTTCCAAGCCTACTGTGTGTGCGGTGTGTTAGGGTGTTAGGGGTACTGTGGACCCTTTCTGGAGCTTTTAAAGGATCTGGGGGTTGGGCAGACTCAAGCCAAGTGTGGATCCTTCAGCATCATTCTTCCTCCAACGTGGATGTGTTGCTTTCACTTGGACATAACAAGGGGAGTGCTGTGCTTGAACCCAGGCATTGACATTTCTCTCTGATTTTGTCACCATTTACTAGAAAATCCACCCGGAGAGGACGCCTTCAGAGAAACTGTTGGCTGTGAATGAGTTTGAATCCCGTAAGTATTTCTCTAATACATGCCTGTTTTTGTTTTGTTTTGTTTTAATCACTAATTTAATGCCCATAGGCAAATTGAAGGCAAAAATAGCTCATTCTCTTACTAATGATGGTGATTTTAGTTGTATTTTGACTCTTGTACTATTTTGAAATATGTTCCTAACATGGTTTCTCCCCTCAGTTTTACAAGTTTATCAGGAAATGGTAAGGGGAGGTAGAGGCTCACACAGTGATCCTTTCTACTCCTGGCATCCTGGGTGTTTTGGGGTGTTAGCTGTTCTGCAGTGTGGAAAAACTGATTCTGTGTGCATACATGTTCTCTGCATATATGCAGGTGTTCATGCACACATGTACAGGTCTGTGGGGAAGCCAGAGACAGATTTGTACAACACAGTTTACCAACTGAACTATTTCTTCAACCCCCAGGTGATGGCCTTACCAAAAGGCCTTAAATCAGGGCTGTCTCACTACTTGGCAGTGGCCCAGATCCCAGGGTCCAGTGAGGGACACCAAGGCTAGGTGTCATTTACAGTTGCTTCCTTCTCACCTCACTACCCATGGTCAGCTGGAATTTTATGCCTGCATGATCTTTGATTGATGGAGGAAGAGACAGTTTTTCATTTAAGCAGAGTCATGGGGATAGTGTTCTCTGGGGCTCTCCAGTGCCTGCCATGTGGTTTGTAACAGGAAGGACCCAGGGTTCTGTGGTGACGGATTCTTTCCCACAGATCTGGACAAACTAGACAATGAGAAGAAGGATCTCATCCAGAGTGACATCGCTGCGCTCCATCAGTTCTACTCCAGACACCTGGAGTTCCCCGACCACAGCAGCCTTGTGGTGCTCTTCGCCCAGGTAAGGATGCCAGCGCCCAGGAGGACTGCACTTTCCCTTCCCATGCCCTTCCTACAGCATGGACTCATGAAGACACATGGAGATGGGCACAGAATCTACCTGTGCCAGGGGAGGTGAAACAGGTGCATCCCTGTGGCTCATCGGCCCAGCCAGCCTAGCTCACTTGTTCATCCCAGGCCAGTGAAAGACCTTTTTTCAAGAAACAAGGTGGACAGGGATAGAGAGATAGCTCAGAGGTTAAGGGCATTTGTTGCTCTTACCAAGGACTTGGGTTTGGTACCCAGCACCCACTTGGTGGCTCAGAACCATCTGTTACTTCAGTTCTGGGAGATCCTGTGACCTCTTCTGACCTCCCTGGGTACAGGACATGCATTGTACATACATACAGGCAAAGCATTTATACACATAAAATAAAGACAAGAAAATAACGCAAGGTAGTCTAAGAAACAACACCAGGATTGCTCTCTGGCCTTCGTACCCTTACACACGCACATGCACACACTCTACATGCATGGAAAAGGTAAAAGGGCACTAAGCATTATTACAGATGGAAGGGAAGTGAGTCTTCCCACTTCAGCCCCAGTGAGAAACACTGTTAATGGTTCAGTGAATTACCCATAGACCTAATGTTCATGTGGATGCATTTCAACCTTGTGGTTTTCATGAACAGAAAGTTACCCCATGTGAAAGGCATCGTGGGTTCCAGTCTTGCTCACTTCCTCACCCTGGGTTTGCACGTTTGCACCATCATCCAAGTCACTGTTCTCACGGCAGTGGTGAGGCACGTAACAGGAACAGTGTGGGAAGGAGTAGTTTATTTGGGCTCATGGTTTGAGGGTGCAGTCCATGGTGGGAAGGCAGGTGGCTGGGGCTAGAGAGAGCATTTTTTCACTCAGTCCAGACCCCAGCTGTGTCATAATGCCACCCATGTTCAGATTAGATCTTCCCACTTTAACTACCCTAATCTCGGCACCCTCAGACATATCCTGAGGATTGTCTCTGGAGCAAGTCTAAATCCTGACAGGTTGAATGCCAGAAGATGTTGGATGAGGGTGTGGGCAGAGAGTTTGGAAAACTGTATATACAGGAGGTTTTTCTCACTGAGACATGGTTATATGAGAAAGCCAGGTGAAGTCTGTCACAGGCGGATAGCAAAGACCTTTCCTTTAACAGAGTGGTGCATGCTGGTAGGCCTTCCATGTGATGATTCTCTTGGCTCGAATGAGACCACATGTTCACATCAAAGACCAAGTGTGTGTGTGTGTAGAAATGAATTAGGTATGCGTGTGCCTGAGGGGGACACACACACACACACACACACACACACACACACACACACAATTTGCATACCTATATATAGCTAGGTAATTTATTCCTTATAACCTTTATATTGATTAAATCTTAATGTCCATTCCAAAGCTGATCTTGTCTTGTATAGCCCAGGCTAGTCTCAAACTCACTGTATAGCCAGTGTAGCAGACTACCTCTGCTTCCAGTCCCCAAGTGCAGGAATTACAGGCGTGTACCACCACACCCAGGGCTTCCTGTACCTTGGGCAGACACTCCACCCACTGAGCTCCATCCAGACCCCACACAACACATGTTCCATGTGTGAGTTTTAGGGGGATTTCAGTAGCCCTGAAGAAAATGCTAAAGCACAAAAGAAATGTGGCTCATACCTGCCTTGCCCTCTGGCCTTGCCCTGGCTCCACACTGCATGTGTGCTGCTCTACCCCTGGGCCTTTCATCCAGCCAAGGAGGCTCCTGTAGGGTAACTCACAGCAGCAGCTGGCAGCTCAAGGTGACTACTCCTCGGAGCTGTTTAATCACTGCAAACCTGTGTATAGCTGAGAAGTGTATTTTTAGTGTGCAGCCTACATCTAGTTTAAACACTAATTATGAGAATAGCTTTAGCAAGGCACTTACGCCTGATTTGATTCGGGGAAAAAAAAGGACCATAGCCCATGCATCTTTTTTTAGTGTGCAAGTTCGCTTTTCTCTAGGGACACCTCAGAAGGGAGGGGAGGCAGCAGGGAAATTGCTGTGCAGTTTGGCTCGAACGCCATCACTGCCTCTCCAAAAGGAAGAGTGATGACACCTGGTTCATAGGAGAATATGCATGCACACTCCCACAGTAGAAGGGGAAGGGTAGAAAGGGACGAAAAGACAGGCGGCAGAGGCCGATCCAGCCAGGATTACCACAGCAGAGGGGCTGCAGATCAGAGGACCAAGAGCCCAGTCCCCAAAGCCTGGGGAGCTGACTGTCCCTCCATCTGTTTTGGTAGCTCTCTGCTTTTTCATAGTATGGCTATTGATTGGGAATTTCATAACACAAACCCCAGGAATCTCCCATCCACTCTTCCATTTAGCAGGCATCTGTCTGACATTATGGGTACCTCGAGGCCTGAGTTCAGCAGGACAGAGTTGTTGCACTGTACCTACACAGTAACACCTAGGAATGGAGTTCATGATCAAAGAGATTTTGTTGAGTGAAAGAAAATCCCAATTTATCCTACCTGATGTGGATTGGTAGTCACTTGTTAAAGTACCAGTGATGCATTTGGTCAGGCTGTAGGGAAAGATAGCCTTCAGTCTTCTACTTTTAGGAAAGCCTGCATCTTTGGTATCTATTTATGAACCTGTAGTACTTGCCTCTTCTTACTCCTTTCCTCTCCTCTTCTCTCCCTCTCCCCTCCCCTCCCCCTCCCCTCCCTTCCCCTCTACTTCCTCTTCTTTTTCTTCCTCTTCCTTCTTGCCCCATAAAATTATCATAGCCTTTACTATGATATGCCCAAGATTCCCCGGCTTTTCCAGTAACCCTTTAATTTTATGCAAACTCACCACATTCACAATCAGTAGGTGCTGCTTATCATGAGAAATGGCAGAGCCAGGGCTATGGCCGAGTGAGCTAGTGAAGCCTTCACTAGGCAAGTGTGAGGACCCATGTTCAGATCCCCAATATCCCCATAAAGCCAAATGCAGTCATGAGCACCAATCACCTCAGCAGTGGTCCTAAGGCAATATAAGTAGAGGAGAGGCCCTGGAGGTGTGCATAGCAGCAAGCCTGGCTTATGCTGTGGCAAACAAGAGACCTGTGTAAAATAAGGTGGAGGTTGTCCTTGAACCTCCACACAACCCTCCCGCCCCAGTTCTCCCACAGAAATTTTTTTTTTTTCGAGACAGGGTTTCTCTGTGGTTTTGGAGGCTCTTCTGGAACTAGCTCTTGTAAACCAGGCTGGTCTTGAACTCACAAGATCCGCCTGTCTCTGCCTTCCAAGTGCTGGGATCAAAGGCATGTACCAACACACCACCACCTGGCCTCCCACAGAAAATTAATTTAAAAAAAAAAAAAAAGCAGGCTCTGCTGTGCAGGCTCTGGCCTTGGTCAGAATGTCCTGTCTGAATTCTGGCTCCCATTACTCCGCTCAGGTGTCACACATCTTGAACCATGGGGACCCGGGTTTCCATATTTGTAAGGTGGGCTGCTAGCAAGATACTGAGGGTTTATGATTGGCGGATCTGGGATGCCCAGCATGGTGCCTAGATGGAAAGGGTGCTAAGCAATGCTCTTTGAAGAAACCTTCAGAGGTGTGGCCAGGTCTCAGGAGCGGGAAGAAGTGGGTCTCTGAGAGGTAGTAGGACTAAGTCCTTTGCACATCTTGACATCTCAGGGGCTCCCAGCCACCTCCAGCCCTCATCGCTGGCGGGCTTTGTAACTGCAACTCGGGTTCCTCTCTCATCTTCTAGAAAGAGAAGACACCTGGTCTTCAGCCCTGAGCTTTTCAGTACTTACAAAGAACACCTGTGGGATTTTCTCCCAATGGCTGAAAGTCGCCCTGATTATCCTTCTGGGTGAAGTGCCCATCTCGTTATGCTTGTTATTATATGTGGAAAGAGAAATTTGCAGAATTGGCATTCATAGCCATCACTTTCAGCCTATTGACCTTGAATTAGACCTCCAGTATGGCAGAGTTGCCATAGGAGGGAGGGAGGGATAAAGGGAAGGGGGGGGGAGAGAGAGAGAGAGAGAGTCCGGACGTGCACCGTAACATGCAAACATGCATACAAGTATGTGCACATGTATACATGAGGAAGCAAGAGGCCAACCTTGTACGTTCTTTCTCTGTCCTTTGTGTTTTGAGATGAACCTGTCACTGGGATCTGGGGCTCACTAGTTAGGCCAGGCAGACAACCAAGGAGCTCCAGGGATCTGTCTACCTCCACCTCTCTGGGGCTGGGATTACAAGTATACACTGCATACCCAACATTTTTTATATGGCTTCTGGGGATCAAACTCAGGTCCTCATGCTTGCAAGGCTATGACTGAGCCATCTCCCTGACCCAGCTCTAACCATACACCCCCAGTATTCTAAATGCAGTCGTTCTTCTCAAAGATGAGAAGCGGCCCAGAGATTGATCTAACTGATCTCATTGCCTTAGGGTTCTTGGTTCCTCTACCTCTCAGGGGAAGGGAACCCAATCCCATAGATGAGTAAAAGCTTTACCCTCACCTTCTGAGGTAGACATGGGTCACTAGGTCCCTTTTCTAAAGGCAGGTGATTTGAGGATGGGATCTAGATCACTCTCTCTCTCTCTGGGATAGGATCTAGATCACACACACACTCTCTCTCTCTCTCACACACACACACACACACACACACACACACACACACACACACACACTCATTGGTGCTCATGACCCAAGGTAGTCTGACTCACAAGCCAAGACTTCAGTCCCAGAAGCCCCATCACATGTCCCCACACCACTCTGCCACCCTGAGGGTAGCCACACCGACAGGGACAATGACAGCAGCACATCTGCTTCTGTTTGTTGACACTTAGGAGCTGGTGAGTAAGTTTTATTTGGACAAAGGATGCCACTTGTTATGCTGTAAGAAGAGCTTCAGCACCGACAAGCCAGAGCATCTTGGGTAATTTGGTGAGGGCTAAGGCTGAAATGATGTACAGCTGGAATGGGGGAGCTGTAACTGGAGGTTTCCCTCTCCCCCCTCCCCCATGTATCTCTGCAGGTGAACTGTAACGGTTTCACCATTGAAGATGAAGAGCTCTCTCATTTGGGATCGGCGATATTCCCTGAGTAGGTTGAGTTTGACTTCGTTCCTTTCTCTTTGTACTTACTAAACACTAATTTGATTTTTTACATAACCCGCCTGACTGCATGTGGCAGACACTCCAAGTGAATTAAGACAGCTTTTTAATCTGCTAGATTTCAAAATATTTCCCCTACACTTGAAGATCCGGAGGTGGCAGTTAGCAGAGTGATGGCGGTGACATCCCGCCGGGCCCAGAGCTGTTGCTAAGGAGTGTCAGTGCGCAGTGGAGCAGCCTGTGTGTGGCCCACTAGGAAGCACACTCTCTGCAGACCCTTGGATCTGGAAATCTTGTTTCTTAGGCCCATGGCTAATGCCCATTCAGGTATTAGCCATGGTTAGGGTAAAGACTATGTGAGCGCTTGCCCAGCTGCCCTTCTTGGAAAATGCCAATGGAGAGTGGCACAGTTTGGAGGGATGTTAAGCTGAGTGAGTGAACTAGAGAAAAACTTCAGTTTGTTACTGGGTATTTCTTTCCTTGTGACTGCAGGAATATTTGGATAATCCCTGAGAGGCTAGCTAATGTGGAGGTCTTTATGGAAACTCCAGAATGATCCCTATTTCACAGGTGTAGCCAGGGCAGCCTTTGTGCACCCTCTTTGTGCATCCACATTGTGCAGAAGATACCCTCTGTTCCTCACTTGCCATGCACCAGTTCCTAGTATGCTTATCCGCTGCCGGCTCAGGCATCAGGAGAGTCAGAAGAAAGACCTGAGTGAGCAGACCCTGATGCCTTTAGCTTTCACCGGGGCAGGGGAGAGTCCTGGCATTGGCGCCAAGGTATGGTTGGTCAGCTGCTGGCACAAGCATGGTGAGGACCAGAGTGCCTCTTGGCAGAGACTCTCTTGGGCAAGAGCACAGAAAAGAACAGACGTGGGACTCTGTGAGGACAACCTGGACAATCACAGTGCTGAGCTTAACTCTGCACAGTCCTCTGTGTCTGAGGATGTCTGCACTGGGGACTTCACTGTCTCCATGGCAGCCAGAAGTGGCAATCCCAAGTTGCTTGACTGTCTGTCCTAATGCTCTCCCCACCATGTTCAACAGTCTGTTCAGAGAGAGCCTAACACTTCTCCAAGATGGTTCTAGAAGCCTCCTGGGTCCTGATGCCCTGTGTGTCCCTTGTCAGAAATCTAAGGAGGCTGTAGTACAGGGTGAGATGTTCCTCCCCAGGGAGGAATCAGCTGCCTGTTCATCCCAGGGGTAAAGCCAGTCACCCACCCTACTCACACCTCCATCAGGCAGGAGAACAGGCACTCTGGGGCAGACCCCTTTCCTTTTTTATATCCTGGGACAAGCAAGAGTAGGGCGCTGGTCTCTCGGGTCAGGCAGTGCCAGCCCTCTGAGTGGTATACACACAGACAGGTGTGCCCATAAGAGCCTAAGCCCCAGTTTCTGGGCATTTTTAATTGGGGGAAAAGTCCTTTGGGGCTGAAATCACATGAGTGTGTGATTTCAAAGGCAGCATTTGTGAGATCAAGCACTTTCCCCTGTAGTTTAGAAGTTTCTGTTCTCAGAACTCTGACCTTGATATAATCAGAAAGCTCAAAGCACCTCGACTGGGCGAGCCTCTCCTGTCACTGTCCCTAAAAAGCAGACGGCAAGCAGCGGGAGCGGCCATGTCCCAATTTCCCAGATTTGGAGGTTGAGGTGCTTCTCTGGGTCCCTGGGAGGGTCACAGCCCTCCCCGCCAAGTAGCTGGCATTTCTCAACATCCAAAGGGAACATTTGAGAAACGATCCACTTAGACAAAAAGACAGCCCCTTTTGTCTCGCGCCCATGTGTGCATGGGAGCCAGTCAGCTGCTGCCAGTGTTGTTTGAGTCTGTCCAGCAGAAGGGATACTTAGGCTAGTGGTTGTTTCTCACTTAGAGCTCTATTTCATATAGAGGTCGTATTTCATATGAGGTTTCATATTTGAGTGTGTTGAAAGGCACTGGGGCTGAGGGTGTAGCTCACTTGGTAAAGTCTTACCCGGCACACATGAAACTCTGGGTTTGGGTTCCAGCACTTCATAAACTGGGCATGGCGGCACACGAGGATCCAACCATCAAAGTCACCCTTGGCTACATGGTGAATCCTAGATCAGCCTGGGCTATGTGAGACCATGTCTTAAAAAGACAAAATAAGCAACAAACCCCCAAAAGGATAGGTATTGTTTTAAATGTGCAGAGAACATCTTAGAATAGCGTAAGCTGTGTGTATCCATACTTTCAACCATCTTACAATGATTCAGTCTCCCTTACCCATCAAACAGGAAGGCAATGAGTCGCTTTCTCAGCCCAACGTTCAGACAATCATGTTTCCTCTTTTGATTGACAGTGTTGCATTGATGAATCACAGCTGTTGCCCTAATGTCATTGTGACCTACAAAGGGACCCTGGCAGAAGTCAGAGCCGTACAGGAGATCCACCCTGGAGATGAGGTGAGATGGTAGCCTTGTGGTCAGGCACAGGACTCAGGCTGTTGTGACTGGCAGAGCAGCCACATCATGGTACCACCATGGTGACTCCTGAAGCTAAACCATAACTCAGGGCCTTCCCTGGATTATCTTTCAGATTTGGGGTCTGGCTTCATGTCTTTTGCTGAATACATGGTTGCTTGCCACTTTCTTAGGCTAGACAGAAACAAGAAACAAATTTAAATTGAACTCTTTTTTTTTTTAACCCCAAATTCATTTATTTTACTTTGTGTATCTGAATGTTTTGCCTACATGCACATATGTATGTATGTGTACCGTGTGTATACCTATTGAAGCCCCTAGATCTGGGGTTATAGCACCATGTGGGTGCTGGGGATTGAACCTGAGTCCTCTGTAAGAACAAGTACTCTTGATGGCGGAGCCATCTCTCCAGCCCCCTTCCGTTAAGTTCTTAGCTAAGATTTACAGTCTGTATATCCCTGTTTTCAAAGAGCTGGCTGGTGAGTTCCTATGGTCCCCTAAACTCCACAAAACTCTAACTTCCTTGTCTGTATTTGTTGCTTTTCTTGTGACAACGTGCTCTGAGTGCTCTCAACAAAAGCAACTAAATGAAGGGATGCTTCATTTTATGGGTAGAGCCCTGTCCAGTTGGCAGTGTTAGCCATCACATTATTGAGCAGAACCCACAGCAATAGCTGAGGGACTCCTTTCTAAGTGCTGTGTCTTCGAGGTCCCTTTCTTAGAAGGGGTGGCCAGGGGCATGCCCCCATCAGGGAAGTAGAAGCACTTCCAGGACAGGAGGCCCCCAGCAGCCTCCTTGTCTAATGTAGGGTGTAGAGACAGTCACATGCTTCATTGCCTGCTCCCCGAACTGTTTCTCTTTCTGGTGCAGTGGTCATGTGTCACCTTGTGTGATTACACTTTCTAGGTTTAGTTTTGGTTGAACTGGAGCTTCTGTCTTGAGGGACTTGCCATTGTCAATGCTAAGTGACGAGAGCTTTGATTTTTCTGGAAGGTTTTCAGCAGTTGAAGTGCCTTTTCTCTTTGCCAAGTCCCACGTGAGGTGGGTGGGTATCCTCTCTGCAGCCAGGTTTTGAGGTTTCTGAGTGGCTGGTGGAGATGAGTCTTAGGCCTCTTTTAAAACAAAGCAGAATAAAATGCCCAACCCTGGCTCCCGTTGACTGGCCAGAGAGGCCAATGGCCTGTCTTCCTGGATAGGCTGTTAGAGCCTTGAATGGTACCACAGGAATGGCCTTTGTCGCCATCTTCTGGACAAATCTGCTTGTTGCACTATCTGCCAGTCATGTCAAGGAGTCAGGCCTGGCCCTTGCCACACCTGTGTTGCAGGAACTGGCTGGTGTCTTTCTTTGTTGGCACGAAATCATGGATTGTTCATGTAGCAACTTCAGTTTGGGGAAGTCTGTACTTCCGTGCCCTCAGACAGAAAGGAGCCAATGCTTTCAGGTTCCAGGTATTAGACGGAACTAAGATAGGCTTCAGGCTTGCCCCTTGAGTCAGGGAGGCACCAGTGAGTCACTGGCTACCACAGCTCTAGCCCTATGCTGTTGTCCCTGACTGCCTGGCAGAGGTCAAGACACCACCACAGGTGTGTGGGATGCAGCCATTGCTGTCCCTATGAATAGATGATGGGAACTACCCAAGCAGGGCACATATGGCTGAGGGTAACTGTGAAAGCACCCCCCCCACACACACACAAAGTCAAAAACATTATGAAATCTTTGTGATTTTTTTAAAACTTGAATGTATGCTTCTCAGACATGAGCTATGAAATAACATCATGTTACAAGGTGAAAAGGTGGAGCACACCCAGGAGGGCTGACCTTCTCTGTAGGCTTCAGACCTCCCTTTCAGACTGTCCTGTAACGGGGGAGGCCAGGAGAATGAGGGAGCACTTCCGTGTCCCTGGCCACCAGGGTCACACACAGCTCTGCTGAGTGAGGCCACAGTCACTTGTATCCTGGAAGCCATGTCTGCTACCCTGCCTTCAGGGCTACTCAGCCCCCCCCCCCCCACACACACACAGCTCTCTATTGCATGATGTCAATAGGAAAGGTGAATAGACCTGGGTGTATACGGCCTTGCTCTCCCCTGCACGTGCCCAGCAGAGGCAGCAGCGAGGGCCTAGAGCCATCCCATGACAGGTATAAAGAGAAGTAAATAAGGGCCATGCAGAGACTGCAGGACCCAGGGCTGAGGCCTGCAGCACTTGCTCCTGTCCCTGAGCCCGGGGCAGGTCCTTGTCCTGCTCTTTGGTGAGAGAAGGTGAAGGGGTCCATACTTCCTGGGTTAGGGACTGAGCCTATAGACTTCCTCGCCATGACAAGGAGGTGGACACAGTTCCCCAGCCTCTAAAGAGATCCACTGTTAAGTAAGGGAGTGACTACCTGAGACAGCCCTGCTCTTTCTCTCCCTATAATCCCACATCAGAGGGTTACAAAGCCACAGGATTGGTAGGAATTGTGTTTCCTATCACAGACCTCCTGCTTCTCGAACCCTAGGTGTTCACCAGCTACATCGACCTGCTGTATCCAACGGAAGACAGGAACGACCGGTTAAGAGATTCCTACTTCTTTACCTGTGAGTGCCGGGAGTGTACCACCAAGGACAAGGTCAGTTCACTGATGGGGTGTAAGGGAAGGGTGTGCGCTGGTTCCTGGGTCCCTGCTGTGAGCCTGCTCCAGCCTCTCCCCACACACTCAGTGTTTTGACCCTTTAACCCATGTGACAAAGACAGGCAGAAGGAATCCAGATAGGCTCTGCTCAGATCTGCTGCTCAGCTGGAGAAACACCCCCAGCCTGGCTTGCTTGATGAACTCCAGGCCATCGAGAGACCCTGTCTCAAAAAGCAAAGTGGAGGCTCAGGGTAAACTCAAGGACCTAAGTTCAAATCCCTAGTACATATAAAAAGGCATATGTTACTATGTGTGCCTGTAACCCCAGCGCTGGACAGTATGTATGTGTAGGTAGCATAGAGGTAAGATTATTGGGGCTTGCTGCGTGCCAGCCTAGCTTCGGGTACAGTGAAAGACCCTGTCTAAGGGAATAAGGTAGGGAGTGAGAGAGCAGGGCACATTGAGTCCTCCTCTGCACCCCTTGTGCCCAGGTACAACCTCCCCTCCTGCCATGTTCAGCAAAAGCAATAAGGTGGATAGTTTCTGAAAATGGCCTCTAAAGTTGACCTCTGGCCTTCACATGGATAGATGCACACAACCAGGCTCAGGCTTTTTGAATGTGTCACCAGGCTCTACATGGCCCACATTATGGATTTTCAAGGCCGGCCTTGATCACTGGTCTCTCCTGACTTGTAGGCAAACACAGAGCTCCTCTGCCCACAGAGAACACACTTGGGATTCTGCCTCGGGAAGACTGACCCAAAAGCTCATGGTTCTGGTTTTGTAAAAGGGTAACAGTGTGGGGTTTTCTTTAGACCCAGAACCCAGCCTTGGCCTCTGTGTGGGAATGCAGGTATGATTTGAGCAGTTTGCCTTGGAGGGGACGCCTCACACTGTGGATATCCCCTCAGGACAAGGCCAAGGTGGAGATCCGGAAGCTCAGCAGTCCACCACAGGCGGAAGCTATCCGAGACATGGTCAGATATGCGCGCAACGTCATCGAGGAATTCCGAAGGGCCAAGCACTACAAATATAACCTTTTTTGTGTGTCCCGTCTGGGCATACTACCATCTCTTGAAGGCAGGAAATAGTGGGAAGTTGGGAAAGGGGAGGATGATGAGAGGGCGGCAGTAAGGTTTGGAATATGGAAAGAAGAAAGTCTCCTGCGGCTGCGTGTGGGAAGACAGATGGTCTCACAGCAGTGTCAGCTCTGCCAGCAGTCCAGGGTACTGTCCCTGGGTTAGGAGTGCCTCATGGTTAGGAGTGTGCCACATCGGGGGAAGCTACCCTCAGAGGAGCCGTGTTTTAGTACAGGTAGGCATAGTGTTGAGAGCCTTTGTTCAGCCCTCATTGCTGCCTAGAAATGAAGAAAGAGCTTCATGGACAGCAGGGACACTTGGTGGTGGCAGATCACCAGAACCTGTGTTCTCACAGTACTGCATCTCACAGTACTGCAGTGTGTTCTTGAGAGTTGGAAGGAGCTGGAATTTGCATCCCAAATAGAATTTAAAACCTTTCCTTTTTGCCCCCCTCCCTTTCTTTCTTATTCCAGTATTGGAGATTGAACATAAGGCCTTGCATATGCTCAGTCTCTGAGTGCTTGTCTCCAGTCCATTTCCTTTTCTTTCTTAACTTTTTTTTTTTTTTTTTTTTGGATTCTTTAGAAACATGCGGGACAGTGGGCAATAGTTGAAGTGTTGCCCGAAGTCTCTTCTCAACATGTTTTCAAATGGTGTGGTCTAGATTAACAATGAATGCCTTCCACAGTCCAGGCAGACTTTGAAACTGTGCTCCTCCTCAGCCTCATGAATAGCCAGGGTGGTAGCCTGCACCTGCCAGGCCCATGAGTCACGTTGTTTTCTAACATTAGAAACCTCTTGAGAGGCAAGCTTGGGGTCGTTTCCCATGCTTGGAAATCATTTCCGTGGGGCACAGCTTTCTAAAAATGCGCAGGCGCACAGCATGGTTGAGCTTGAATTCCACAGAAGATGGCACGCTCCATCCTCATTGCTGGTCTATGCTGAGACTAGCAAATAGGTCTCGGGGTTTTCCGTTTCTGCAAGGAAATTGTAATTGCCTTTAATTCTGTTTGCCCTTCTGTAATTTACTCTTCCCAGAGGTGAGGAGTGGGTGGAGGGAGAAGAAATAACCCTGACTGTCCCACTTGGGATGCCCCACCCCGCCTTGAATACCCCACCTTGCTTTGGATGCCCCGCCCCACTTGAAATGCTCCGCCCCACCAGGGATACCGTCATTTCCTTGACCTTGAGCACCCCCTAGTGAACTGCTGGAGATCTGTGAACTTAGCCAGGAGAAAATGAGCTCCGTGTTTGAGGACAGCAATGTGTACATGTTGCACATGATGTACCAGGCCATGGGTGTCTGCCTGTACATGCAGGACTGGGAAGGAGCCCTGAAATACGGGCAGAAGATCATCAAACCTTACAGGTTGGTACCGAGTGGAACCGGATGACTCCAGAATGAGCATGGTGACTGTGTTGGTGTTCCTGCCCTGTGCTGAAGTCTTGCCTTGAATGGGTACTGCTTCTTGGTACCCACTCTGAGCCAGCCTCATTCATCCTCCCAAAGAGCTCCCTTAGGAGGCAGAGTGGCATGGGTAACCCACAAAAGTTCATTCAACATCTGTGCCCACCTGCCTCTTCTGTGTTAAATGGCACTTGTGACTTGGTGAGTGGAGGTGGAGTGTCTCAGAAGCATGCTTTCTCTCCACACTCATGCATGCCATCCCTTCTGACTCGCCACCCTGTGGTGCCAGTGGCATCTCACAGACCTCTGGGGTCAGCGGGCTGGGTCTCCTCCCCAGAGTCAAATAAAACAAGATGGGATTCCAACTTGTAGTGATAGTGACTTAAAGAAGAAATGGCCCATCCTAAAGGGTTACCAGACATTAATGTGGGAGACAGGAAGCCATAGAGCATTGTCATCTGCCGCTGGCCAGCCACCCCAAGGCTGAGGTCCCATCGTGGAAGAGTGCCCCCCACTCCAGGCCTGTACATTAGGCCTTTCTGTGGAGCAGTATAAGCATTAGACTGGAAGTTACCTTCCCCCAGAGTGTGTCGGGTAATTCTGGTGAGTTTGAGAAGCCCCGCCTCTAAGATTGAGGACTGGAAATTTGTGCCCCTAATCTCTGCCATCCACTTACCCGTTGTGCCCAGGATCACCAGCAGGGGGAGCCAGCGAGGAAACCAGCTATTTACACCTGCTTCTGGAATCAGTTAAATTGGAGACCCCTGGAGGGATGAGGAAGTTCTCTGATGGCAAACCCAGACAGACAGCGTCCCAGCTCAGTAGCCATTGGCCCCTCCCCAGCTTCAGGAGTGGGGGTGGGAATGTTGCTTCTCTAGGCAGCTTGCCTCCTCCCTGAGAATTCAGTTGGTCAGCATGGACAGTAGAGCAAACTGCCTGTAATAAGCTCATCTTCCACACGTGTGCAGACACTCACCCACAGCTACACCCTGGGCTCCATTCCCAGGGAAGTGGCTCACTCTTAGGCATACTTCACCAAGCAGACCTGAGGCCAAACTTGAAACATGGTCTGCTAGAGCAGAGAGTGAGATGAGGAGGTGCTCTGGCTTCTGAGGGCTTAGGGTACAGCAGGCAGCTAGCCTCTGTGGATCCTATGTGTTTATGCACATGCAGGAGTGTGAGTACGCACATGTGTCAGTGTGCATGTGTGGCCTGTCTGGTGGGAGGAAAATGGCCTGGTTGCCGCCCGTGTGGAGGCAGTATTTGCTTTGACATTTCCCTAGTGCCTTGGTCTGAGTGCAGCTGAAGTAGAAAAGTCTGGGTGTGTTTCTGCCCTCTCACGGTTCTCGCAGAACAGGTGGTGCATACTGGCCCATTCCCACACTCGGCCCAGGACCTGGTGGACTCCGGGGAAACCAGGCTGCTGTGGAGAGTTGGGCAGTCTGATGTGGTGACCTGTTGTTCTTTGTTTCCAGTAAGCACTACCCTGTGTACTCCCTCAATGTGGCCTCCATGTGGCTAAAGCTGGGGAGACTGTACATGGGCCTGGAAAACAAGGCTGCTGGACAGAAGGCCCTGAAGAAGGTACGTGGGGCTCCAGGCTGGCACAAAGCAGTGAAGTCTGTTTTGCACTCACATGTGCCTTGCGCCAGGAGAGGCCAGTGGCTGCAGGAGTTGTGAGTGTGACTGGCTCTAGGGTACACTCTGATCATAGCATTCTGGAGTGCTTTCTGCAGATGGCAGTGGGATATGATATGATGTGATGCTGAGCCTGCTCTTGGTCTAACCCAGGCTCTTCAGGTAGGCATGAACACTACCTGAAGCTCCCAGGGGGCTGATTGAGAATCCAGTGCCTGGTCTGAAATCGGGTGGCTGGGTCTGGAGTGTTAGGATGTTGCCTAGGCAGTGAACTTAACTATGACCTCCATTCATGGAAGCCAGTAACACAAGGGCCTATCTTACAACAATGATGTAGTTTCTTGATGGGGAGGGCTCAAGAGGAGTCTAGGGTGCATGGTGGTCCTTCAGGTAGGACCCTTAAAATTGGGAGCTTTAATCTGGACAGCCATGCTGGGACTAAAACACTTGTGCAGAAGGGACAGGCGCCCAAGCATGTGCCATAAGTGTGTGTGTGTGTGTGCACATGAGTGCATAATTCATGTACAGGTGTACTTATAAATATGGAGGCCAGAAGGCAGCCTTAGATGTAGTTCCTCAGTCCACATTGTTGGCAGAGTCCCTTGGTGACTTGGAAGTCTCCGATTAGGGTAGGCTGCCCTGTCATTGAGTTCCAAGGATCTCTCATCATCACCAGTGCCAGGGCTATAAGTATGGGCCTAGGAGTCAGGTCTGTGTTTGGGACAACACTTTACCTTCTGAGCTGTCACCCCAGCCCTGCTGTCCATATTGAGAGCTCCTTATGGGAGCCAGGCCACCCTCCTGAGAGATAGTCTCTTTGTTTTCATGTGATTCTCTTTGAGAGACTTTGTATAAATACTGCAGCCACAGACTAGCCCAGTGTCCCACATTTCCTAAAGCATCTATGGAGTATGGGAAAATGGGGTCACACCCCACATCCCAGATCAAAGAGTCAAGGTCTGGCTCAGATGAAGTGTGAGGAGCTGTGTGATTTTCTGTTGATGTCACGTATGTCCATTGTGTCGGTGACACCAGGGAAGTGTACCTGGTTAGGTCACCACTGGAAAACATCAGTGAGTCTGAAATGTCTAGAATGGCGGGTTAGAAGCTTGGTGTAGGATGAGGCCCCTTTAGGTCTTCTCCTGGGTATTTGCAGGGTGAGGAGGAAGCTGTGAGGCTGTGGAGGGGAGGGGAGGAGGGCTGTGAGAGGTGGCTCGCATGCTGGCTTGAAGCACAGCGTGGACTCCCACTGAATTGGATGCAGTGGGCTAGGATCATGGTTTGAGCTCATCTACCCTTGCCTTGCTGTCTCCTAGGCCATTGCCATCATGGAAGTAGCTCATGGCAAGGACCATCCATACATCTCCGAGATCAAGCAGGAAATCGAGAGCCACTGACTATGCACCCCAACTTTCCTTCAGAGACCTCATAGGACTTGAATGTTTCCTGCCTCACGGGCCACCCCAGCCTTCCGCAAAGCCTTGCCCGTGCTGTCCGCCTTTTCAGGTTCATGCTCAGCTCTGACCCTCATCTCCAGCACTTTCCTTTTTTGTAAGGGTCATGGCATGACTTCATGTAATATAGATTTGGGTCAAATCGAGCTTGAAAAATGCAATTAATTTTCCTCTGTGCCTGTTGGAATGTTCTGCACAGAGTTGAATGAGGAAAGAATAAAAGAGTCAGTCCTTGAAGCATTTGTTTTCTGGCATCTGCACTTGTGTGTGTGTGTGTGTGTGTGTGTGTGTGTGTGTGTGTGTGTAGAGCATGTCTGTGTGCTCACACGTGTGCATGTGAACAAACAGGACTCCTCCTATCATTCCATGAGCCCAGTTCCGTGCCCGGGAGTGGGGCTAGTCATCTTCCTTGTCTGCAGTTATTCTCACAGAACAGAGTCTCTGAAGGAAGACTGCAGGCAGGAGGGAAGGTGCTAGGAGCAGTCTGCTGGCTGGGTGCCCCTCCCTGGTGGGAGGACTTGGCTGCTTCCAGGTTCCTCTTTGGCACCTTCTGGAGATACTTAGCAGTGCGTCATCTTCCTGCCATTCCCCTCCTGTTCCATGGACTTTTCCCTCTGCATTATTCTCCTAGTTTGGAAAGGCTCCAGGGTGAGCTTGAGAAGGAAAAACTTACCAACCATGTGCTGTGAGCAAACACTGTCTCCATCCCAACAGGATTCTCACCCTTTCCAGCCCATCAGTTGGACCACAGCAGCCTGGGTCTATGCTGAGAAGCCCACTGTGCCTCAGAGGGCAGGGATGATTCTCTAGGAAAGTCTCTGCACTGCAGACAGGGATGTCCCCACTAGATGACAAGCAAACCTAATGGAGGTACCCTCTGGTTGTCTGTCAGTCACCATCGGAAAATAGCTCGAATGACTGAAGCACCAGTGTGTCCCCTTCTCCCTCACATGCATATGGACTACTCAGTTCAACACACACAGTGGGATTTAGCTGGTAGAATAGATTCTTCAGGCGTAGTCATTCAGTGACCATCTGCCATATGCAGAACGCTCACTGCCTACCTGTCCAGTGCATGGAGAAGGCCGAGACACTCCTATTCTTAGTGTTGAAACCCAATGATTTAAGAATGCTAATTATGTGTATATGCTACCATCTTTACGTTAGGAAGGTTTCAGTTTCTCAGTAAATTAGAAAAGTGTGCCCCAGCCTGCAGGGGACACCACTGGTTGCATCTGTCGCCCTTCCCCAAATACAGAGTTGCTTTCCTGGCTTAACAGTGGGCAGCTTTTTCTGTACTTAGCAGTTCTTATTGTTTTCAACCTTAGAGTATGAGAGCATATGTCCTGATTCCCTGGGATGCTCACAATCGTGGGGATGTGTTTTTACCTGGTTCTTTTCTTAACTTTTTTTTTTCTTGACAGGATTTCTCTATGTATCCTTGGCTGTCCTGGAGCTCTGGGTAGACCAAACTGCCCTCGAACTTATACAGATCTGCCTGCCTCTGCCTTTGCCTCCCCAGTGCTGGGCTTTAAAGTGTGCATCCCACACCTGGCCCCCATTAAGCATCTTAAACATAACTCTGCTGATGTGTGGTAGCATTGTGGGGTAGATTCCTAGAAGTGTAATTTCCAGATCAAATAAGACATTATTTTACATTTTGAATAATGACAATTTCTTTTACAGAATAAAATTTGTTTTCCTTCCCCCTTTAAGACTGTTAAATCATTAGTAAAATCTGTTAGCCTAATATGTGAGGTATTTATGCATTTGTTACTGGGGTCGGTGTGTCCTTTTGCATATTGTAGAAGCTGTGTCTAAGTAGATGTGAATGGCTGAAGTGTTTTTTGTTGGCCTTCCTGACACTGGAGTGGATATGTGATTTTCCTCACACCAGCGGACAGCTCAGTGCTTTTACCATCCATTCAGCATCAAACTGTGCACACATGAGGACCCATCCTCCGGACCTGCCCTCGCTTCATTGCTGGTGCAGGGATGTCACTCCTCTTCTGTCGGCCTGGCCTCGCTACCCAGTTGTGCTCGGTAACTAGCCACAGTGGTTCCCCATGCCAGGTCACTGTTTGACACACTTAACTGCTAATCAGGGACATGGAACAGAGCAGAAGACACCGTCCAAAGTGTGCCAAGCATGTTGCCTGCCACACAGCCTGCAATGCTCACAGCAGCTCTCTGGACCCAACCATTTATTTGTTTTTAATGGAGGTTCCATTACACCGGCAACTGTCAATCACTCTCTAGCACCGAAGTGTGGAGCTGGGTGTTGCAAGCTCCTAAATGGACTGTGGTCTCTAGAGGAGAGCTTCCACCCCGGGATTATTACTTAGGGGTCTAGTAAGAGTTGTCTTGTCAGTGCAGGGAGGAATAAGGCCGAAGCTCTGACCCCTGGAAAGTCAGGTGGGCATGGCAACCCACCTGTAACCCCAGCATGTGGGAGGCAGAGGTAGGGGACCCACAGGGAGGCTTGTCAGCCAGACTGCCTAAAAGAGTACACTAGGGTTCAGTAAGCAATCGAGGCTCATGTAAGTGGAGAGAAATATCACCCTCAGGCCTGCATACACACCATACCTGGCAATACGCATACATACATAAATAACAATATTAAAAAGATTGTCTTGTTAGTACAAAGTAGAGATAGGGAGGGTCTCAGTTTTACAGCGTTTGCCTGGAAAAGAAGCTTCTAGTACTTTCCCTCCTAAAACCTGTCAATTTTATTCAGGAAGCTATGTTCCAGGAACAAGAGACAGAGAGCACACACCTTCCTAGGATCCCACACTGGCCTTGGCCTGTTTTGTCCGTGTCTAGCTCACTACCCTGAAGTAGAGGGGACTGTTCGTCTTCACTGATGAAAATACTTCCACCTCCATTCTTTTTTATGATAAATGGGCAGAGGCAAATTGTTTTCTATCTTTAGATGGAGAACACAGCCTCTTAGCCTATGTCTGTGATCTACCCGGCATTGTTTGATGTATTTAGTTTCTGTGGCTGTGATTGAATACCTGGACAAAAAGTGATTTAGGGACAGTGTATATTTTGGCTTTAGATCTGAGGGAGGGATGGATTCCACCGTGGAGAGGAGGACCCTGGCAGGAGGCAGGGAATACATGCTGGGAGGAGTAGGAGGCTGGCTGTTCACATAGAGACAACTGCATGAGGCCCAACCCAAGACTCACTTCATCCAGCAACCTTGACCTCCTGAAAGGTCTGTAACCTCACAAACAGTGCCACCAACTAAGGGCCCAGGAGTGCAAGCCTATGAGGGGCATGCACTTATGAGGGGCATTCTGTATCAAACAACAGCTTCTGATACAGTTTCCAATTTCACATTTTAATCACATGTTTAAAAGATTCATTATTGCATGAAGGTGTGAGGCCTGCCTCAATAAGGGCTTATTTGTTTACATAGCCCAACACAGCCTTTTCAATTCTTGGATTTTATACTTTCTACAGCAGAGGGAAGTAACGTGTAAAAAAAAAAAACAATCACAAAACAAAAAATGTGTTGAGATTCCTGCATTTCACCACTCACACACAAGCATGTGTGTACATTTTTTGTACATATTTCTTTGGTTTGAAGGATTATTTTTAATTTCTTTTTCTCAAGCCAGAGAGGTGGCTCAGTGGTTAAGAGTGCATGCTGCTATTGCAGAGGACCTAGGTTTGGTTCCAGCGCCCGTCAGGTGGTTTTTACAACCACCTATAACTCCAGTTCCAGGGAATCTGATGCCCTCTTCTGGACTCAGCAGGCACTGCAACCATGTGCGTATACCCACAGATACACACAATTAAAAGTATTTAAAAAGAACCCCCCCCAATTTGGCTTTATTAGTAATCTCTTTGGAGACAAACAGGTCTGCAGATGCTAATGGCTGTAAATATGGATCCTGTCTCATGTATGTATATGTACTATGTGTATGAACTGTCCAAGGAGGTCAGAAGAGGTCACTGGATCCCCTGGAACTACAATATAGGGCTAGGACTCTGAAAAACAGCCAGTACACTTCACCTCTGAGCCATCTCTCCAGGCCTCGTGTTGATGGTTTAGTTTCTTAAGTGTATACTGAATTTTTTTTTTTTAATCAGCGAAAGAAAATAAAGTAGGCATACTCAGTACTCAGGGTGGTCTTACAGCTCTTGGTTTTCATTGGCCCAATTTGTGTTGTATCTTTTACACACATGTGGCTTTTATTTCCAGACTTATAATTGTCCCATTGGCAGGGTCACTAGAAAAATAGAAATATTTCCATGTCTGCTGAAATGAGCATCTCCTTTAGCCCCAGAGAGGCTTTCTGTATTCCTATTCATAGGCGAGACAAGTCAGGGCTGTGAATGGTTTACTGTTTATGATGATTTGAATGTAATCAGCTCCCATAAGCTCCTATTAGGAGCTTTGTTGGAGTAGATATGGCCTTGTTGGAAGAAGTGTGTCACTGTGGGGGTGGGCTTTGGGGTCTCCTATGCTCAACCCACGCCCAATGTCTCAGACCACTTCCTGTTGCCTCTGAGTGAAGATGTAGGAGCTCTCAGCTCCTCCAGCACCATCTCTCCCTGCATGCTGCCTTGCTTCCTGCCATGGTGATGGTGGACTAAACCTCTGAATTGTTAAGTGAGCCACCCTTGTTAAATGTTTTCCTTCATAAGGGTTGCCGTGGTCATGTCGTCTCCTCATGGCAACAGAGTCCTAAGAAGAAACCTAGCACTGCTGGAAGTTGTCAGCGTTGCCCCTACTCACCAAGGGCACACAGCCTCCTCCACCCTCTGCACAGGTCAGGTGGGAAGAGGGTGCTTACATATTATGGCTAAAGGACAGTGGGGCAGGGGAGGGGCTTCATGCATTATGAGGGTTCTCTTTGAATGTTTGAGAAGGACCCATTTCTAGGCCGTTCTCACTACTTCCCTAGTATTTGCTCCTTGTGTGTTTCTTGCACAGTGAGGACACCAGAGACTGCAAACAAAAATAAATACGTTTGAAGGAACACATAGAAGTCTTTGCCTACAAAACTGCTTGTGTGTGTGTGTGTGTGTGTGTGTGTGTGTGTGTGTGTGTGTGTGTGTGTGTTTCAAGACAGTGTTTCTCTGTGTACCCTTGGCTGTCCTAGAACTCGCTCTGTAGACCAGGATGGTCTCAAATTCAGAGATCCACCTGCCTCTACCTCTGGATTAAAAGCATGCGCTATCACCAGCACCCAGCCCAAAACTGATACTGAAGTAGGAGATAC